CCTCGGCCTCCCAGAGAGCTAGGATTACAGGGGTGAGCCACCGCACCCGGCCAGAGCAGCAGTTTTTAATGAAATCTAACTTAGCAAATTTTTTCTTTCGTGGATTGTGCTTTTGGTATTTTATCTAAAAAATTATCACTGAACCTAAAGTCACCCAGATTTTCTCCTTTGTTGTATTCTAGAAGTTCTATAGTTTTACATTTTACATTTAGGTCTTTAATGCATTTTAATATTTTTGTGAAAGATGTAAAGTCTGTGTATGGATTTATTTTTTAGTTCATGGATATCCAGTTGTTCAGCGCCATTTGTAGAAACAACAAATTGTTGAATTGCCTTTGCTCCTTTGTCAAAGAACACTTGACTCTATCAGTCTATTTCTGGGCCCTCTGTTCTGTTCCATCATCTATTTGCCTATTCTTTCACTAATACCACACGGTCTTGATTATGGTAGCTTTATAGTAAGTCTTGTGGTTTAATACTGTCAGACCTCTGACTTTTTCTTTAGTAGTATTTTGCCCATTTTGTGTCTTTCGTCTTTCCATATAAACTTTTGAATTAGTTTGTCCATGTCTGCAAAATAACTTGCTGGGACTTTGATTGGAATTGTGTTGAGTCGTTGGTCAAATTGAGAAGAATTGCCATTTTAACAGTATTGAACATGGACTATCTGTACATTTATTTATATTTTCTTTGATTTATCAGAATTTTATAGTTTTCTTTGTAAGTGCACATATTTTCAGGTTTTGTTAGATTTATACCTATGTGGTTTGGTTTTTGGTGCTAATGTAAATGATGTTGTGTTTTTAATTTCAAATTCCTTTTATTCATTCCTGGTTTATAAAAAGGCAATTGACTTTTGTATATTCACTTAGTATTTTATAACCTTTTTATAATCCCTTGTTAGTTTCAGGTGTGTTTTGCCGGTTCTTTGTAGTTTTTTTACATAGCTAGTCATGTTTTCAGTGAACAGAGACAATTTTATCTTTTTTCCCAATCTTTATACCTTTTATTTCCTTTTCTTGTCTTATTTCATTAGTTAGAATTTCTGGTATGATGTTGAATAAAAGTGGTGATAGTGGACATCCAAGAGTGTTGCACTGCTCTTGATCTTAGCGAGAAAGCTAGTTTCTTTCTCACTATTAAGTATATTAGCTATAGATTCTTATTAATTAAAAATATTTGGAGGTTGGAGGGGATAAGAAATGCGTTCTTGCCTTGTTGCCTAGGCTGGAGTGCAGTGGTGTGATTATAACTTACTGTGATATTGAACTCCTGGGCTCAAGTGATCCTCCCACCTTAGTCTCCCAAGTAGCTCCGGCTATAGGTGCACACCATCATACCTGGCTAAATTTTATTTTTTCTGTAGAGATGGGGTCTGGCTCTGTTGACCAGGCTGGTCTTAAACTCCTGGCTTCAAGCAGTCCTCCTGCTGTAACATCCTAAGGTGCTGGGATACAGGTGTGAACCACCACACATGGCCAGAATATTAATTTTAGGTCTTCATTTTAATTATTGCATGTAGTGTTGTAAATGTCCCCCATCCTTGCTTTCATTGCATCTCACAAATTTTGATAGGTTGTATTTTTTCATTTTTATTTGGTTCAGAATGTTTTTAATTTCTCTTGAGACTTTTTTTTGACATGTGTTGAAGTGTGTTGTTTAATCTCTAAATATTTGGGGATTTTTTTTCCCTCCAACATTTCTATTAATGATTGTAAGTTTAATTCCATTGTGGTCTGAGAGTATACTTTGTTTGAATTCTGTTCCTTTAAATTTGTGGAGGTATGTTTTATGGCCTAGAATGTGGTCCTTCTTGGTAAATGTTCCATATGAGCTTTTGAAGAATGTGTATTCTACTGTCATTAGATGAAGTAGTCTATGAAATTTTACTGTTACTGTATTTTTCATTTGTAAAATTCCCATTTAGTTTTTTCTTTTTTATGCCTCCTATTTTTTTGCTTAGACCTTTATTATTTCATTTGTTTTAAGAGTGTTTATCCATACTTCTTGGAACATCGTTAATAATGACTTTAAGAAGTCTTTTTTGGATAGTTCTAATACATGGATGATCATAACCACACCTGTTGCTGGCCAAACAGAGCTGACTTTTCTTGAAACTTTTTACATTTGTGCCTTTGGCAGCTCCAGCTTTTTTGGCTGCTCTAACACCCAGGCTGGGATGTAGGGAAGGCAGAATAAAACCCATGAGGATCTCGCCAGCAGATTATCTCTCTGGTCCTGAGATTTTTATTCCTCCTCCTTTATCCACCATTCCAAGGCTTTTTTTTTTTTTTTTTTTTTTTTAAAGAACACAGTCTTGCTCTGTTGTCTGGGCTAGAATGCCATGGCGTCAGCCTAGCTCACAGCAACCTCAAACTCCTGGACTTAAGTGATCCTCTTGTCTCAGCCTCCCGAGTAGCTGGGACTACAGGCATGCACCACCATGCCTGGCTAATTTTTCTATTTTTTTTTTTTTTTTTTTGTAGAGTTGGAGGTCTCATTCTTGCTCGGGCTGGTCTCGAACTCCTGACCTCAGGCGATCCTCCTGCCTTGGCTTCCCAGAGTGCTAGGGTTACAGGCGTGAGCCACCACCTGGACTGAGGTGCCTTTTTTTTGAGACAGAGTCTTCCCACGCTAGAATGAAGTGGCGTCCTCATAGCTTGCTGCAACCCCAAAATCCTGGGTTCGCTTAAGTGATCCTTCTGCCTCTGTCTCACAAGTAGCTGGGGCTATAGGCAAGCGCCACCATGCCCAGGTAAATTTTTTTTTTCTTTTTTTTTTTTTTTAAAGAGATGGCCTCGCCCATGCTCAGGCTGGTCTTGAACTCCTGGCCTCAAGCAGTCCTCTTGCCTCAGCCCCTCAAAATGCTAGGGTTACAGGTGTGAGCCACCACACCGGGCCCTTCAGCTTCTTATAGTTCTATATGTTTTTTTTTAGTCCAGGCATCTAGTTGTAGCTTTTGGGAGAGAGATAGGTAAAGTATGTTTATTCCATCTTGTCCAGAAGTCCAAGTTCTCAGTTTCTTTTGAAATAGGTTATATGATCCTTTTTCTAAATCGATATTTAACGGCATGGTGTTTTGTTACTTCCTCTTTGCAGAAATCTCAGAGTGAAGAAATAACTGGCACAGCCAACAGTGTGTGTACAGGTGGCACTGAAATGACAGTACCTTTTTTCTGTAAATCTGAAGAACCCGGTTCTATTACCAAATCTCTTAGTTCACCACCTATTTCCTCTGGAACTGCAGAGAAGCCTGTAGATTTGTCTACTAGAAAGGAAATTGATGCAGAGTCTACAAGCCAAGGTAAAACTTATTATACATTTATATCATGCATTACATAAGGGGCACCTTATGTTTTTGAAGATAGATTTTTTTTAATGGTAGATCCTAAAAACTCCCTTTAAAACAAATTTTGAGATGTCTAAAGGGCCATAAGATATTAGTAATAATAATCAGAAAAGTCATACTGCCTTGCCAACAAAGATAATAAATGTGTTTTTTATTGTTAGAGTTGTGATTAGTAGGGAATACAAAGCATTGTGACTCTGACCTATCTGCCTGACATAAAAGACAATACAGTAGTTTACTTACATGGTAATTTCCTTTGTGATAGTGTTTTCATTTCAATATTACTTGAATTATATTATCAGTTCGGGCATATTTAAAATGTTTTAATTATATGTGAGGTAATTATAGAAATATTACAATAGGAGTATAAAATTTTTTGGTAGAACTTAAATGTCTTTTTCTCTACTAGCCTGAAAGCTTGCTAAATTAAGTATTCAGTTACAATAACTAATATGTGGTATTGCTTTCTCCTTTGTTTTTCCATTTCAATTTTTTGGGGAGTGAGTGGGAAGTGTCTATTGCTCTGTATGTGTACATTGTCTACATTACCTAATTTTTTTAAGTAGTCTTAACATTATAAATATTACATTTATATAGACACTTCAGAATCTTAATATGCTAGAAGTGGAAGGTAGGTTCACACCTAAAACCCTGTGCGTTTTTCAAATGAGGAAAGTAAGGCACAAGGCTTTCAGAGATCATGCAGTTACATGTTGGCAGAATTAAGATAAGATCACAACAGTCCTGATGACCAAGTGTAAGTGGGATGTTTGTTTTTTATGAGCTTACTTACAATACAGAGCACAAAATTTTTATACGATGTTTCCTAAAACTCTGCCTTTGGCTGAATGCTTGTTTTAGAGTATAGAAGACTCTACAAAGCAGAAACAGTATAGTTCTGTATCTGGCTTAATATAGATAGATGTATATCTCATTTATAAAAAATAATTTTTGGCATGCTTTTGGTGTAGTATGGTAATATCCTTTGGGAATAGTACCTGTAAAATTAATAATGTTGAAAAAGCTCACAATTGGATGTATTTTGTAACTTACCATAACACAAATGCTAACCCCCACCTCCACCATGTGTAGTATAGAAGGGCTTACTATTCTTTCTGAGACCTGAGTAGAGCTTTGATGTTTAATATACATTAAATTAAATATTAAATTGTTCTTTTCCTTTTGCCAGTGGAAAGCAAAACAGTTTCATTTGGATTTGGAAGTAGCACAGGGCTGTCATTTGCAGACTTGGCTTCCAGTAATTCTGGGGATTTTGCTTTTGGTTCTAAAGGTAAGATCAGGAAAGGTTTAATGATCATGTTACAGAATAAAGCACAAGTGAAAAAACAGTCCTTTGTTACAGTGTTGCAACTAAGTTGGGAGATTCTTCCCTCACACCATCCCCCAGTTTGTTTAACATTTTAATAACGAAGGGTTTCCACACTTTATTTTTGACATTTACTAATATAATCATAAAAATTTTCTCTTAATTTAATGTAAGTCATGCTGATAGTCCTCCCCATCCTGAAATGCAGAGCCATTTTTCAGTTTTGGAATAACCCTGACTTTATATTAACATTGTTCTTTTGACTATACATTTAGATTTGATTTGTGGATATTTCAAGATTTGTGAACTTAACATTTTTTTAAGAAGACGATTTTGTACTTTTAGATTTTGCACTTTCTTTGGATTTCAGTATTGGGTTGTGCTAATTATTGTGCTAAATTGTTTTCCTGTCTTTTTCAATGTTGTTTTTATTTTTAATCCATTTTGATAGCATTTCTAGAATGTAATCCATTTCCTTGATTATTTCAAGTTTATTAGCATAAGGCCATTCATTGTATTTTCTTATTCTTGTAATGTCTTTCATATCTGTGGTTATAGTACCACCTAAATTGTTCTTGTACAAGGTGTTTGATTTGTGGCATAAATTCAGTATGTATGCTTAAACGATTAATGCAGTTTAGAATACTGTCCTTCCCACTTACGTATTTGCACTATTCTGTGAGCTCTTGCCACCTATAGGAACACATAAAAATGTTTAGAAGTTACCTTCAGATATGATGTTATGTTGGAATTCATGGCTTCACTGATGTCAAGTTTTTTTATTTTTGTTTAATTTATTAAGTAGCCTGAAATCAAAGGGTAATATGTCGACAAATTCAGCAATGCAAGTGGGTACAATTATTCACCAAAAAATGCCAAATAAAAATTGATATGTTAGGCTGATAGATACTCAGTGCAACCTTTTCAAAGTACTGAATCAATATTGTACTCTAAATTATGAAGTAGGCAAGACTCAAATTATCAGAAGGGAGCCATGCTTTACTAAGCCTTACCCACTGACACTCCTCACCGCTACTTGTCATTCTTAATGAGATTATTCATTAAAAAGAGTAAAACTACACTTCTCACTTTGTTTTGTTCTTGTGTTTGGTAGTAATTTGTGTACTTGTCTTTTCAAAGAAGCACCTTTTGATTTTATCAGTTCTCATTTTGTACTTTTTATTTAGCTTCACATTTTGTCATATTTTGTTATTTTTGTTAGATTTCTTGTATGTCAAGTGCTTATTAATTTAGATTGCACTTGTTAAAAATAATAAATACTTAAAATTATAAATTCCCTGCAGTCAATTTTGTTTGTATCCCATAGATTTTCATGTGGAATCTTAATACTTTGGTAGTGTTAGGGTGGGAGTGCTGGTGCAGAGCTGGTGCACACAGGTTTGAGAAAAATTTCTCCAAAGATTAGAATAGAAAGAAGAAATTTATTTTACGTTCCCAAGCAGGAAAGGGCCAACATGGTGAAAGAGGAAAAGAGTATGTTGGCAGAGAGAATCAGGTATTCAGGCTTTTTATTTGGGAATTGTATAAAAGGGGTGAACCCAATTTATGGCTGTAGCCAAATTAACAGGGTACTGAGAACTGTCATATCTGCTCTTTCTCTTCTTCTTAGCCATTAATCAGGTAACAGAAGCAGGGCCATGTGAAAGGGCTGTATCCATTCCTTTTCTTAGAGGTATGCAGAAGTGGCAATCAGAGATCTTGTTGGCAATCTTGTCCTTAAGATTTTGGGCAGGATCTGAAGCCTGTAGTTTGTCCCCACTGCTGTCTGTCCAGGAGCTCCTCAGCAACACCTCGAGGCTATACAAAAATAGATTCTAAAGGGCAGTGAGATGGTGAATGTAAGGAGAAAGATTTACAGTTCCCTTCTGTCTTTTAGCTCTTTTCAGGTGTTTGTGAAAACAGAGTCACCGCAGTGTACCTGTCAGCTAGGGAAGAGAAAAGAGCAGAGAGCTGGGAGAAAACTCATGATAGATTTCTTTGTTTTCTTTGTTCCTTTGTTTTTTATATTGATTTTTTTCCTGAAAGTTCTGTTTGATTGTTCTATGTGTGCTGTGTGATATTTTATGTAGAAACTAAGTTACTGCCCAGCTTGGACACAGATTGTCAATTTTATCATGTTTGCTTCACTTTTTAATGTTTTTACTGAAAACACAGAGAAGCTCCTAGGTACTCTTACCTAGAATTCTTATCTTGAAATTGATACTGATTATTCACATGCATACCTTTTATACTTTTACTTTGTAAATTCTCTCTTCTACTCTGCTTAGGGAAGTGGTTTTCAGCCCTTGGCTTCCTATTCAAATTACCTGGGAGCTCTTTTAAAAAGAACTACCTGATAGTTATACTGGCATCTCTGAGCATGAGACCCAGACATTGATGTTAGGTTGGTGCAAAAGTAATTGTGGTTTCGGACTGAATTTTAAATCATAATAACCAGGCTCTAACACATCTTTATTAGTCAAAATAGAAGCATTACAATCAACACATTTTTGCCAACGAGAAATAAGTTTGTTTATTCCTGTAGCGTAAAAATTAGTTCTTTGGGATTCCACAAACTCTTGGATAGCATTTTCTGCATCCTGCTGGTTGTGGAAGTGTTTTCTCTACAAAAAGTTGTCGAGATGCTTGAAGAAGTGATAGTTGGTTGGCGAAAGGTCAGGTGAATATGGCAGATGAGGCAAAACTTGGTAGCCCAGTTTGTTCAACTTTTGAAGCTTTGTTGTGCGATATGCGGTCGGGCATTGGGAAGAATCAGGCCCTTTCTGTTGACTCATGCCGGCTGCAGGTGTTGCAGTTTTTGGTGCATCTCATCGATTTGCTGAGCATACTTCTCATTGTAATGCTTTCGCTGGGATTCAGAAAGCTGTAGTGGGTCAGACCGGCAGCAGACCACCAAACAGTGACCATGACTTTTTTTGGTTCAAGTTTGGCTTCGTGAAGTGCTTGGAGCTTCCTCTTGGTTCAACCACTAAGCTGGTTGATGCCAGTTGTGTAAAATCCACTTTTCGTTGCATGTCACAATCTGATTGAGAAATGGTTCATTGTTGTTGCGTACAATAAAAGAAGACAATACTTCAAAACAACGATTTTTTTTTTGATTTTTGGTCAGCTCATGGGTCACCCACTTAATCGAGCTTTTTCACCTTTCCAATTTGCTTCAAGTGCTGAAGGACCGGAGAATGGTCTCTGTGTTGAGTTCTTTGGCAACTTATCATGTAGTTGTAAGAGGATCAGCTTTGATGATTGTTCTCGATTGGTTGTTGTCAACTCCCAAGGGCCGGCCACTGCGCTCCTTATCTTCAAGGCTCTGGTCTCCTTCGCAAAACTTCTTGAACCACCACTGCACTTTAAGTTCGTTAGCAGTTCCTGGATCAAATACATTGTTGATGTTGTGAGTTGTCTCCACTGCTGTACGACCCATTCTTAACTGGAATAAGAAAATTGCTCGAATTTGCTTTTTGTCTAACATCATTTCCATAGTCTAAAATAAATATAAAATAAAAAGCAAGTAGTGAGTCATTAGCAAAAAAACATAAAGCAAGTAAAGTGCATTAAAATGATATATAACATAACCACATTTATTTAAAAATGTATTCCAATATCAAATGGCAAATTTCAACAATGCTAAAGCCGCAATTACTTTTGCACCAACCTAATATTTAATGTGCAACAAAGGCAGAGAATTGTTTTAGAAGAATTTTAAATTTTTTCTGCCACATGTCCCCTGGGGTTATTTTTTAGTTAAATTTTTGCTTCGGAGTTCTGGATAGTTAATTTTGAGCCCCAAATTTCTGTCTTATCCTTATCAGTGATTACTATTTTCAGAAAGCCCCCATATGACCTGGGGTTGTGCTTTTCTTGTTCTCAGATCATTTCTTTGCAACATTTTCTTGTATGTCCTTAGGAAGTTTTGTCTTTAATTTTTTCCCCCTCTATTAAATCTGCCTTTATTAAAAGGAGTGGATTTTTTTATTCACATGTTCTTTCTTCAAGGTGCTGATACCTTTTATGTGCTCTGACATTTTTTCCTTCTTAAGAGTCTTTAGCAGCAGGTATAGGGTTCTGTAAGTGATACAAAATTAAAAGGTGTTTTTTTCCGCTAAGATTGTGGGGAATATGTTAGGATGGGCCATCTAAATTAAGGTGGAGAAGCTGCTATTCTCAGGTTCTTTCAGGTATGAGGGAGTGAGATCATCATTGTTCTGCATAAAAGTGGGAAGTCTTAACTGTGTAGTGTATCCCCTGAGGGCAGTTGAATTCAGAGGGCTTCTCCCAAGGCTACTTATTCACTAGCCTGGCCAAGAAATGTAAGCTCCAAACACTAGCTTCTTAAAGAAGTTGAGGTAAAGTAAAGTTATAAACATGTGTTTAGGCTACTGTGGCTAGTTTGAAAGTAGCACATTTGGCCTACTTAAGGACATTTTTATGTTCAAAAGTTACTTTTTGCATGTGATAAAAGGTTTTATGACATAGACTACTTCTGAAAGCTGAGTTAAATTTTCAAAATTTCAGGTATGTACTTTTAAAAACCTACTTCATTACTGGAAGTTCTTGTGTAGTTTAGTGTTAAGAAGGTTACCCAAGGCAGAGACAATCTTACCTTTGTAACTCTGAGCATAAGCAGTACTAAATGTACTTTGTGCTCACTACATGAGTTGAACTTGCCAGGATAACATTTTTTTTTTTTTTTTTTTTTTTGAGACAGAGTCTCACTCTGTTGCCCCGGCTAGAGTGAGTGCTGTAGCGTCAGCCTAGCTCACAGCAACCTCAAACTCCTGGGCTCAAGCGATCCTTCTGCCTCAGCCTCCCGAGTACCTGGGACTACAGGCATGCGCCACCATGCTCGGCTAATTTTTTCTACATATTTTTAATTGTCCAATTAATTTCTTCCTATTTTTAGTAAAGACGGGGTCTCGCTCTTGCTCAGGCTGGTTTCGAACTCCTGAGCTCAAACAATCCGCCCGCCTCGGCCTCCCAGAGTGCTAGGATTACAGGCGTGAGCCACCGCGCCCGGCCAGGATAACATTTTTAAGAGTGATGTATATAGTACATCATTGGAAATTAGATGCATTGATAAAGTAACCTAAGAATAGGATAAAAAACTTGCAAAAAATAGATACCACTGTTTAAATATCCTAATTTATTCACCAGATAAAAATTTCCAGTGGGCAAATACCGGAGCAGCTGTGTTTGGAACACAGTCAACCAGTAAAGTTGGTGAAGATGAAGATGGTAGTGATGAAGAAGTAGTTCATAATGAAGATATCCATTTTGAACCAATAGTGTCATTACCAGAGGTAAATGTTAAGGAATCAAAGTTTTACTGATAACTTATTTTTCAGTTTAAGTTTAAAACTCACTCTGGCTTGATTGTAGTAGGTAGGTATATTGTTGTTTGCATTTATTTCAAAATATTTACAATTTGAAATGCAAGCTCTGTTTATTAGACAACCAGCCTTTAAGTATAAATTGTCTTTTACAAGTTTTCATATAAATGTTGCTTAGTAAATTCTATATGCAATTGTTGGTAAGAAATAAATACTTTTTCATATGTTGTTAGAGTATCATGTTTGTTTTTATAACATCATAATAAACACTTTTTGAAACTTCTTCTGTCTGGAAAGCAGCAGTCCCTAACCTTTTTGGCACCAAGGACCAAGGTTGGGGGGTTAGGGTGTCGCGGGTAGGAGGGTGGTAGTGGGGAGCTCAGGCGGTGATACTAGGCCAGGCCACAGCCTGGGGGATTGAGGACTGCAGCTGTAAAGGTAGGCATTTAATTTCTAAAAGGAGAGTGAATACTATATAAAAGAAAAATCTTCAATGACAAAACGGTTCTTCACTTCTGCAACAAAATCAGATGTATTCCTAGCTCTAGGATATAACCAGTTATCGTTAACACCACAAATTCTGTTAAAGTCATCACAAAGAAAATATCTTAAAGAATTTTGATCTTTGGAATTTGTTACAGAATTTATTATAAGCAGCACTTTATAAATAATTTCATCTATTATAGGTAGAAGTAAAATCTGGAGAAGAAGATGAAGAAATTTTGTTTAAAGAGAGAGCCAAACTTTATAGATGGGATCGGGATGTCAGTCAGTGGAAGGAGCGTGGTGTTGGAGATATAAAGATTCTTTGGCATACAATGAAGAATTACTATCGGATCCTAATGAGAAGAGACCAGGTCTTTAAAGTGTGTGCAAACCATGTTATTACCAAAACAATGGAATTAAAGCCCTTAAATGTTTCGAATAATGCTTTGGTTTGGACTGCCTCAGATTATGCTGGTGAGTTTCTACATTCAGATGCTACTTTTCATATTGTGGACTTTACTAAAATACACAACAAACATATAAAACAATTTGTAACAGTTAGTATGAAGGTCACTCCTTGTTTTTTTTTCTTCAATAGATGGTGAAGCAAAAGTGGAACAGCTTGCAGTGAGATTTAAAACTAAAGAAATGGCTGATTGTTTTAAGAAAAAATTTGAAGAATGTCAACAGAACTTACTGAAACTCCAGAAAGGACATGTGTCACTGGCGGCAGAATTATCAAAGGAGACCAATCCTTTGGTGTTTTTTGACGTTTGCGCAGATGGTGAACCTCTAGGACGTATAACCATGGAATTATTTTCAAACATTGTTCCTCAAACTGCTGAGAACTTCAGAGCACTGTGCACTGGAGAGAAGGGCTTTGGTTTCAAGAACTCCATTTTTCACAGAGTAATTCCAGATTTTGTTTGCCAAGTAAGTATTAACTACATATCACAGTTGAAGTCTAAAGAGTATACCAGACTAAGTTGGGAAATTCGAGTATTTTCCCTTGACCTTGTCCTATAGTTCTCTTAAGATTTCTTTAGCTTTTCCACACATTAGTTGGTGTCACTACTCCATTATCTACCCCTGCTGAAAACTTTCAACCTAAAATAGTTCAAACTTTTAATACGTGAAACCTAATAGAAACTGAGGGGAAAGAAAAAGATCTTTTCATCTTTTATATTCTTTCCAAAAATACTTAGTTTTCAAACTGCATTCTTAAGGAAGCTGGGTGTTTAGGATTTATCCTGTAGTGATGAGTTCTGTGTATATTTTAAATGTTGTATTCAGGATCCCTATTAATTGAAATCTTTTTTCAGGGGGGAGATATCACCAAACATGATGGAACAGGAGGACAGTCCATTTATGGAGACAAATTTGAAGATGAAAATTTTGATGTGAAACATACTGGTCCTGGGTTACTATCCATGGCCAATCGAGGCCGGGATACCAATAATTCTCAATTTTTTATAACACTGAAAAAAGCAGAACATTTGGACTTTAAGCATGTAGTGTTTGGGTTTGTTAAGGACGGCATGGATACTGTCAAAAAGATTGAATCATTTGGTTCTCCTAAAGGATCTGTTAGTCGAAGAATAAGTATCACAGAATGTGGACAGATATAAAATCATTGTTTTTCATTGTAAATTTTTTCTGTATAAGCAGTTGGATTGAAGCTTAGCTGTTACAGACAATGTGGTAATTATGTTCAGCTTTTGAAAATGGACATTTCTGCTGTATAAATGTAAAATTGCAGCTTATAGCTGTTGTCACTTTTTAATGTGTTATAATTGACCTTGCATGGTGTGAAATAAAAGTTTAAACACTGGTATATTTCAGGTGTACTTGTGTTTATGTACTCCTGACATATCTGTATTAAAATGGAATAATATTAATCTTGTTAAAAGCAATAGACCTTCTTAAATTATTGAAGGAATATGATATATGCAATTAAGTTTTAATTCCTTTTAAGATATTTGGATTTCCTGCATGAATATACTTACCATTCAAATAAAGGGACCACAACTTGATAATTTTATTTTAGATTTGAAGTATATTTGGTAATCTTAACTGTTGGTGTGCTTGTTTATACAGACTCATGTTTGAATGGGTAGAGTCACAGAAGGTAGAGAGTTAACCAAAGTGCTCTTCTATAATCTTTATTACACCTCCTGTGTAGTTACAAGTTAACTTTTAAACAGAGTACCTTCCTTTCTTAAAATATGTAGCATCTTGTGCCCTTTCCAAAGGTATTAAATTAATTTTTACATTTTAAACAAGTTCACTATTTCCTTAGTTGTATTTTTTTTTTTTTCCCTTTTAAGCTTTCTGTCATCTGTCTTTACTACCTCAGAAACTGCAACTTGGTTCCGGTGATAGATACTGAATTTTTCCTTACAGTTATTGTGATATAGTATGAATATTTTTAGAAGGTCTATATACATGGTCTTTGGTTAAAGATTTGCTTTATACTAGAATGTTGCAGTACCTTTTTCTGGTAATTTTTGTAGCAGAAATAAAGTGACAATTCATAAGAGCCATGACATTTAAAAAATTCATTACTTGTGCATTTAGTTGTCTGTTCATTTGAATACCAGATGTAAAATAAGGAGACAATTAAAGTCAGTAAACTCAAACTGCCATGTAATTTTCAGAGCTCTCAAGGAAGTAACTCGTAAGTTTGATATACATTGAAAATGAATTTGGAAATGGTTTGTGTCAAATGTTAGGTAAACTGCTAAAGAAAATAGGATGTTCTTAATTGGCCCACTCAATATGGAACTACAAAGAATCCAGTTAGAGCACAAAATTCTGTATGTTCCAATCATGAATATTGACTGTCTTCCACCCTTCCGTGTTCTTCCCAGTGAAATTACTTCATTTTGTTTAGTGAGGAAAGACAGTGAGGTTTATTCCCTGTTATATGGGGATTTGGAAATAGAGTATCTTATAGTAAACACCTGTTCAACCATCAGTGACATGAGGGGAGGGATGTCATGTGTAAATAAGGAGTGATGGAAGACCATCACTAAATCCACTTGGCCACAAAACCTGATACCTGAAATAAATCCACCCCCGATGTATCAACTGAACCTTGAAGAGAACCGATGGACTACATATATGCACATTTAATATTTCAAATTGGCTTCTTTGGAGACTTACGTAAAGTGTGTTAAACTTTTCAGCTGAGACAATTGATGACTTTGTCATGATTTTAGAATAAATTCTTAAGTAAATACAAGTGCTTTTTAAGAGACTTTTTATAGATTTCTATGCTATCCTAAGCATTAAAGTTATGAAATAAAAAGCTTTAACAAACTCTGACCAAAAATTGACAAAATGACATGTAAACTGACTTTTCTAGTATTAGTATTCCAAAGATGCTTAAACGTGGCTTGTGACATTTGTAAGAAAGTCTTTGTGTCACACTTTAGGAAAGGACTTTGCGATTTCTCTCTGTTACTTAATCACTGATGTGCTATAAACCCACGATGTGTATTTTTTTCTTTTTTTTTAAAGTGGCTGGATTTTATATTGTCTCATTAAAATCTGCTTAAAGATAGAATAAAGTAATTCCTTATTTGTACATTTTAAGTGGTACTTTATGGCAAAACATATTTTAAATTTTCAAAGCTAATTTGTTAAAGTATTGATCTTGCAAAATTTGGGCATTTGGGGAACTTTAAAAATAATCCATAGAATTTATGAGTTGTTCAGACATGCAGTTCACAATCACAATTAAGAAAAACAAAGGGTTATACCAGTATAATTGTTTTAGTGAGAAATTAAGTGGTCGTAGAATTGTTCCCTCAATCAGTCTCTGTTGAACATAGCTTTTTAGGTTGATACACCATGGCAATAAATATTGAGCACCTACTAAGTGCTAGGCACTGTTGTAGACACTGGGAAAACCTGTTTTGTTTTTTTTTAATTTTTTTTCAGGAAGCTTACATTCATTCTAGTTATTCTTTTTAATACCTTGTTAACCACATATGGAACAGAGGAGGGGAAAGTAAGGAGGTAATCCTCTTTGCAATTTCTACGGCTAGCATTCCGATTCTTCATGTTTTTCTTTTATATGACAGTTAAGAAAGGCTACCTTTAATGAAAAGACAGGTGTATTTTGGCAAGTGCAGACACCCAACCTGTAGTTTGAATCCATTCTATGGGAGCTGCAGCGGGACGCTGCAGGCAGGTTTAGAGCCTCTGTGCCCTCCGCTCGCACCCGGGCTGGGGCGCCGGCCATGACCGCCCTACGGAGGGTGCGGGGAGCTGTTCGCTGGCCGCCCGGCCTTGGCGGTACTCGCACGGTGAGGTACAGTGCCGCTCCTCGGTCCTAAATCTGGAACGCGAGATGATTGAGAGCAGCAGAGCACTCGCGGAAGCCTAGCCGCGCCCACTGCCTCGCGTACGCCGAGGGGCGGTGCCGCATACGTCATGACGCACGCATGCACGCAAGCCTCGTCCACGTCGCTACCGCGCCGAAGTTTTGAACGCGGTTCCCGGGGAGACCGCCGCGGTCGAGGCACAGCATGGACTGGAGGGTAGTCAAGCCGCCGGGACAGGATTTGGTAGTGGAGCGTCTTAAAACCCGCTACGGACTCAGGGACAGTTGCCCTGGCGAGGTGAGGCCGCCGCCCTTCGGCTCACGGCTCTGCGCGGCCCGGCCTTGAGGGACAGAACCACTCTCCATCCTCCACATGCCCGAGGGCGGCTTTGCGCCCCGCCTGCGCGGGAGGGGCAACCTGGGGAAGGTTACCTGGGAGGAGGGGGGGTCGTGTGGCCGCAGATGTGCAGACTCTCACAGGTGTCTGTCGCCTGCATAGGAAAGCTCCGTAAACCTTTGAAGGTTCCTGTTATGCAAAGCGTGGTATCGCATTGTAGGAGTTGTTGAATTTTTGCGTAGCGAAGTTAGTAGAGTTCAGCACAAACGATTAGATTACTTTTTCAAAACGTCTTATTTTAAAATAATTTCAAACTTAAAACGAAGTTGCAGGAGTACCAGGAAGAACTCCCTTGTACCCTTTACGCCTTGTTAGAATTCACTAGTCATTTTGCCGCATTTGCTTTATCAATTCTCTCTCTCCCCCTCTCTTTCCTTCTTCATACACATTTTACTCCCTGAAAAATTTGAGAACAATTTGCAGGCATCATGCCCCTTTACCCCTAAATATAAACACTTCAGTGTGTTTTTCCTGAACATAAGAACATTCTTTTTCATAACAACAGTAGTATTTTCAGGAAATTAGGCACTGATACAATAATATTGGTTAATCTATAATTCATGTTTAAATTTTTCCAATTATCTCAACAGTGTCCTGTGTAGTAAAATTTTTCCTGGTGCAAATCTAATCTAATTGGTTGTCTCTTGTTGCCTTCAATCTGGAACATTGTGTTATTTTTGGTAACATTCGTATTTTTGAAAAGTGTAACACAATTATTAGAATGTCCATCACTTTGGGTTTGCCTGATGGATACCTCTTGATTAGATTCTGGTTTTGCATTTTTGGCAGGAATGGAAGATGAGTGATGTGTGGCCTGCTCTGACAAATCAAGTGTATGTGATGTTGGTTTGTCCCATTATTCATGATGTTAACTTTTATCACTTGGTTAAGGTGATGTCTACCACATTTCTCCACTGGTAACTTTGCTTTTGTAATTAATATGTAATTTGTGGGGAAATACTTTGAGACAGTAAATTGATTCTAAGTGTACAAATAAATATGTCATTCTTTTTTTTTTTAGTATGATTTTTCAAATTTTGATCAAGCTAAATGTAAAAGAAGATCTCTAACCTCCCCAGGTAAGCCAGTAGAGTATTTATTTGTATATATGGGAGTTTTATCAAATTTAGTTTGAAAGAGAAGATTTTTGAAAAAATATTGTTTAGACTTATGGTCAGTGCCAGATATCTTGTGATACTAAGCTTTTTTACTCTGGTAATGAGATAATAGTAATGATGATTTTGGGGGTAAATGTGTAAGATAACTTTGAAAATCAAATCGAATAAGTTATTTGGGTATTTTTAAATTACAGTATTTCAGCCTTGAAAATGTTAAACGTTAAACTATATTGGGTAAAGAAAACTAATTATTCTAAGGCACAAACTTTTCTGAGTTATTAGGGTAGTAATTATTACATTAGAAAAAGATAATTGTACTGTGGAATTGGGTAGGTTGTAATGTCATGTGAAATCTGTAGCTAGCGTGTATATCTATGTTATTAATAATATGCATTAACCACGAGTCTGTTAATTTGTTAATGCTTCTTAGGTGATGTCTTTACTAGTAAGTATAATCATTAATGTTTTGGAGAATTGCAGCAGAAACAGTAGTGTCTTTAAACGTTCATCAGATGGTTGATTTGGCATTTTTTCCCCTAACGTATTTCATTTTGAATTTTTGTGAAATATAAGTCATTTATTGACAGTTCGCTTTGGTGGATTACACCAGCAAATTGGATCAGTGAATCTATTAAAGTGACTTGATTTGAAAAACACTCTTCTGAAACACTCCTTGAGAATGAAAAAAAATTCCAGATATTACTGAGTCCATTGTTTTAAACTACTTTAAAATTGTATTTTAGTTTGAAATTTGCCCTAAAATTTCCAGTCTCTCAAAATATAACTGAAAATTATATCTCATTGAATTTCTAAGAGGGTAAAAATGACTATTAGAGAAGGGCTCATACATTTAAAAGTAGTTCTAAATTTCTTATCACAGAAGTTCTCCTTTTTATTTATTGAATTTAGATACAGGCTAACAGTTTATTAAATATTTGAGGATCAGAGAGGTATCAATCATGTTCAGGTGGAAAGAAGACTAGATTCTGAATTTTAGTGTAGGTTCTGAATTTGCAAGTTACACATTAGCTAGCTATGTTACTTGGAAAAATTAACATAAGTTTTTCTGATCCTTAGGTTCCTAACCTGTAGAATAGGGTTAAAGGCACCTATTCTGCTTATTTCACAGGGTTATTGCTAGGACCAAATAAAGTAACAATGGAAAAGCATTTTGTAATCAGTAAAGTGCTAAATAAATATAAGACTTGGTGGTTTTTTTTCTGTAAGTTTGCATTAGGGAGACATACTGATAAGAACTCATTCAGTACATTTACTGTCTTAACTTTAGGAGCCTAGAATCAAATATTTAGAGTTTGATCTCAGTGTGTAATCTCTGGTGTTTTCTTTTTTGTTGACAGATGATTTGGATATCTATTCATCTGGAGATAAAGTTGTTTCACCATTAAGATGTTATTCTGCTGAAAGCAAGCATTGTACAACACGTTTTTGCAGTTCATTCAAGCATTTAAATATGAATTGGTAAAGTAACCTGAATCCTTACTATTGCTCTCCCCTCAGTATCTCAAGAAATTGAGAACGGGAACAGGGCAGATTGTGTATGTGTTTGCTTTTGCCTGAGAGAAAGTATGAACAGTCTGGAGCCTGCTAAATAGTTGAGACTCATTTATTAATTTTTACCGAGAATCTCTGTGATAAAAGCATAGACTTAGTATTATGTGTAGTGGCATAATGGAAAGTTAAACTATTTACATAATGTAAAACATGAAAAATTTTATGGTTATTCAGGACTCAAATGAAGACTTTGCTTCCTTTTTTTTTTTTTTTTTTTTTTTTTTTTAAGAAAAAAGGAACTAAGAAAAAAACTGTAGGCTGAGCACAGTGGCATACACCTATAATCCCAACACTTTGGGAGGCTGAGGTGGGAAGATTGCTTGAGGCCAAGGAGTTTGAGGCCAGCCTGGGCAACATAGTGAGACTCCCCATCTCTACATAAAATTTTTAAAAAAATCACCTTGGTGTGGTGTTGCAAGCCTATAGTCCCATTTACTTGAGGGCCTCAGGCAAGAGGATTGCTTGAGCCCAGGAGTTCAAGACTCCAGTGAGGTGTGATCACGCCACCGCCCTCGAGACTGTGTCTCTAAAAAAAAAAAAAAAAAAACCCTGAAATACAGTCTTGTTAGGCAATGACATTTAACTCTGTTATCTATTGTGTGTCTGGTAGTGTGGTAAGCACTGTATTTTAATTAGTTGAGAAAGAAATTGAAGACAACAGTCTGGGGAAATAGTAACTACAAAATATGTATGATACAGTGCTGAACTCAAAGAAGTTGCAATTCTTAAGGGAGATAATATTTACCGTGGACAAAAACAGTATAAAAATATTGGAAGCTAAGGTAAAATACAGTTTTAAAGTGAACATTATTTAATTTCAAAAATATATGACAGAAGGAAATGCTATGGGTTATTGAGAAGGAGTAAACATTTTGAAATAACATAAAACCATGAAGATGTCTACATACATAAAACGAAATGTTGAGATAATTGTGGAGAGAAATAAAAGACAATTGTGCCTAAAAATATCTGTATGTTATTTAGGGGATTGATACTTGGGAGCTTAAATTTGTTAATACAGTTAGGCTCTTTCTCTACGTAAGTGAGTTAATCAATGTAAAGTACTTTGAATGGTGCTGAGTACATAATAAAGCACTCAAATGCTAACTGTTATTATTATTACTGTTTCATTTGGCACTCACAAATAATCTGGTTGATCTGGCTTTAAGATTTGGACATGAGCTAGATTGATGTAGATGTAGTGAGTGTAGAGTATGGAAAGTGAAAATTGCTTTAAGGTAATAATTATGAATTCATAGAAATTATTTTCTTACATTTGATAGTTTTTGTAAATAATCTGGGTATAACTCTATAATTTGAAGATTTTGGACTATGAAGGTTTTCATATCACTGGACAGTTTTTTCACAATTCCTGGTTATGATCTAATCTAGAACTATGCTTTAGTTCCAGCACAGTGTAGCCACAGATCACATGTAGCTGTTGAGTATTTGAAAAGGGACTGGTCTGAATTGGGATATACTGTAAGTGTAAAATATACACTGGATTTCGAAGACTTAGCATGGATAAAAGAATGTAAAATATCTTGATTATATGTTGAAATGATAATCTTTTAGATATACTGGGTTAAATAAAATATATCATTAAAATTTCCCTTTTTAATATGCTACTAGAAAATTTTGAATTACGTATCTTACTTGCATTATATTCCTTTTGAACAGCAGTGCTCTAGAAATTTCAATTCTGAGATAATCATTTTAGAGTAAACACCTGGGGTTCTAGTTCTGCTCCGCTTTTTACTAATTATGTCAACTATCAGTTACTTAACTTCTTTAGGGTTCAGTTTCCTAATGTTAAACAATCATTTTTTAGCTAAAATTATAGATAATAATACCTATTATATCTACCTCACCAAATTATTGGGAATCCAAACAAAGTTTGGCACCTGTAGAGCATTCTACAGGTATATGTACTTTTAAATTCAGCCTATTTAACATGTGGAGAAAGTCCAAAGGTGGTTATAGTGGGTTATTAGGATCAATGACTGTTACTTTTTACATGTTTACTTTTTGAATTTAAAGAAATGTTTACTTTTTATATTTTTTCTCAGTTGTTATGCTGTTAATGTTTGAAAGCAGTTTTATCTTTATAAAATGGTATGGTAAGCCTCCACATTGCTGTGATAGAACTTTTTTGTTTTTAAAGCCTAGATGATGAATTGGATTCTTTTCATGATTTGAAGAAACAGGAAACAGAAGAAGAGTTAATTGAGAATAATCATAGAGTTAGTACGTCCAAAATAACCAAGCAATCTTTTAAAGAAATAGAAAAAGGTAAAAGAAATATTCATTTTAAAATAGTCATTTAAATAGTAACTTTGTCAAATGGAGCATATTAACCTTATCTCATAGTAATAACACTGGTTCTGAGGTTGCTATATATTTTTGTATTCTGAATTTCTGTAAGCCGTTTAATAATAGTGCTTATTATTAAACTAAAGTGCTTGTTATTAAACTAAAGGAAAAGAGAAAAATAGATTTCATTATTTTTCAGTACTCTTCTATATTCTCAGAACTTATCAAAATAACTTAATAATCACCTGAGTACTTTTTATATTGCCTTTGGTTCTTTTTCATGTCAGTATTTGTTAGAAAATGAGTAAGTGTGATAGTATTTGATTGACCCTAATATTGGTGAGGAAATGTACCAGATTACTTAAGATAAGATTTTAGTAGCAGCTCTCTGTGTACCTGGCTGTGTTTCATAGTTTTATCATTTCAAAGAAAGAAGGAACCAGAAATGGTGCCCTTTGCCTTCTTGGCTGCAAGACTTTGAGAGCACTGTTGCCTCATTGATAGCACCAGCATACTCTCTTCTCCTGGGAATATATCATCTACACACAACACACATTCATTCCCCTTTCCCCCCTCCATCATCCCTTTTGTCTCATTGACACCAGCATTTGAGGAAGATGAAAAATAATTCTGCCTGTAGTTGTATGTCCCACCACATTTGATTTTTCCACCGAAAGGAATGGAAAACATAGGATAAAGAAAGTGTCGAATGTAGTTGAAGGTTGACATAAAAGTAAGGAATGTTTAGGCCAGGTATTGGTGGGTGGAAACTTAGAGAAGTAAGTAGAACACAGAATGTGTCTTTTGCGTTTAGGGCCTTTGCTGAACTGAGTGGCATGTAACTTTTTCCTTTTTTAAAAATTCATATTATTTATTTTGACTCTTCTTGAATAGATGGGAAATATAATGGGAGACCCTCTCCTTAAAGCTGGGGCTCCCAGAAGTCTCATGCAAGTTAAAACCACTACATGAGAGCATTTTATATTCTCATTGTTAGCAGAAAATGAATTCTGACAGTACAGTGTTGGCAAGGATATGAAGCAAGAGGAACTCACTCATCCATGGCCATCTGGAGAGTAAATTAATGTAACCACTTTGGAAAACAGTTGCATCACTAGTAAAGTCAAACATGCACATAAAGCCTATGATCCAACAGTTTTGCCACTCGTTACGTAAATACCCTAGAAAAACTCTTGAACATGTACAAGACTTGGTAGCATGTGTATAGTCAAAGCAGCACAGATATCTATGAGATATTATTGAGAATATCTGAGAGAATATTATTGAGCTGATAATATTATTTATTGCTTACAGTATTTATAAAATAGGATAAAGCAGTGAAGATTTATCAACTCATTTAAAGGAGGTGGCTATAGGATTTATATAATTACAGACATTTATATAAAGTTTAAAAACAGACAAAACAAGAACTTCTTAAATGTAAGTAGTGGAAATTAAATAGAAAAGTAAGGCAATGATCAACACTTTGAGTTAGTGGTTAATTTGGTTTAGGGGACGGGGGGATTGTGATTAAGGATTTCTGAGGTAACTTTCCATTTCTTGGCTAGGCAGTTAATACATGATTGTTTTTATGCACTTAAAAGAATTTATTTTGAAATAATTTCAGACTTACAGAAAAGTTGCAAAAAGAGTGCAAAGAATTCTTATATAGGCTTCACTCATGTTATCTAAATGTTACCGTTTTATCATGTTTACTATCTAATTCTTTGTTTCTTTCTTGAAACTTTTTAACAATACTACAAACTACTCTGAGAGTATTTACAAACTGTAAGCTAATAAAGTTTATAATTAAATTTTGTTGTCTTTCCAGTTGCCCTGCCAACTAATACGGCCTCAGCAAGACCTCAGAATGAATGTTGGAGTGCTGCAAGTGACTCTCCTTTGAAACCTGTCAGTTCCCCAAAATCCAAAGCATCAAACAAACAGAGTTTACTTCCACATCAAGTCAGTCAGATATATGATGAATTATTTCAAATACATCTGAAACTGCAGGTAAGAACTAAATACTGAATTGGGAAATCAGAAATATTTATGTTCTAAGAACCAAACATTTACAAAATTTGAATACAAGGCATTTCATTTTAATTATTTTAGATAAGTAAGTCAAGGCGAGGTCAGAGGGAACAAACTCAATTTATAGGAACTATTGAAAGTAAAAATGTAGCAGCCGAGAGAAGAACATAAACAGTAGTGTTTTTATTTGTAGGTGTGTGTCTTAAATTTCATACTGCCTTGTGTTTTATGTTTATTCCCATCACATCCTTACTTAAGAAATAAAATCTGCAGGTAAAGTGTGCTTTTTGAGGTGTTCTAAATTTATTGTTTTAAATACTTACACGTAAAAATTCCCCTTGTGAACTTCTACCAAAATTCAGCTTTGTACATTGGCCTTAATCTGTCATTGGGGTTTTTTTGTTTCTAAAGAGTGTAGTTTATATATTTGTCATGCATCCACTAGGAGTAGAGAAAGAAGAAGTATGTATAATGCCCATTTTTGGGGGGACGTTTTTCCCATTGGAAACATTGTATACATGTGAAATAGTTAAGCATTTTTTTGAAAACCAGTATCTAATTTTGTCAAAATAATTCAGGTAATTACCATAGCATTGCAGCCTAAAATCACTAGGAAAAAGTTTAGGGAGACTTAGTCTGATTCTTTACTGAGACTTAGAATTTAGGAGAGCAATAGGAAGGCCATTCCAGGTACAAGGAATTGGAAGTGAGAGATGTTTGGAATGGAGTGATTGTCCGATTGTACATTTATCAGCCTGTCTGGGGGAAAAAATAGTGAAAACTGAGGCTGGTTGTTTCACAAGATTTTAAGCAAAGGAGTGGCAGAGGAAAAAGTGGTGTTTTAGGAAGATTTCCTTGATAACACTTTATAAGATAAAAAAGAATAGGCAAGGTTGCAAGAATATGTCTATCATCTACAACAAACACAATGAAGGTACAAATAATAAGGAAAAAATGAATAGTAATGGATTAATCTGTTTTAATTAATCTATAGTTTAATTTGACTTTAAAATTTACTTTGTAAGTATGGTCATTGTGGAAAACAGTAGGAGGTTTCTCAAAAAACTAAAAATAGAACTATGGGATCCAGCAATAACGTTATTGGATATATATTCAGAAGAAAGGAAATCAATATATTGAAGAGATATCTGCAGTCCCATGTTTATTGCAGTACTATTTAAAATAACCAAGATATAGAATCAGCCTAAGTGTCCATCAGTGGATGAGTGGCTAAAGAAAATGTCATATATATTAATATATACACAATGGGATATTATTCAGCCACAAAAAAAGAATGAAATCCTGTCATTTGCTGCAAAATAGATGAAACTGGAGGTCATTATATTAAGTAAAATCAGCCAGGCACAAAAGGACAGATATTGCATATTTTCACTCGTATGTGGGAGCTGAAAAAGTGGATCTCATGGAAATAGGCTGGGAAGGGAAGCGAAGGATGAAGAGAAGTTGGTTAATGGGTACAAAAATGCAGTTAAAAGGAGGAAGTTCTAGCATTCAGTAGTATAGTAGGGAAGTTATAGTTAACAGTAATTTATTATATATTTCAAAATTGCTAGGAAAGAAGAATTGGAATGTTCCCAACAAAAAAGATGAATGTTCGAGGATACCCCGTTACCCTGATTTGATCATTACATGTTGTACACATATATCAAAATATCACATGTATGTACTGTCCAAATATTTACAACTATGATATATCAATAAAAAAGATACAAGAAAATTGCTTTGTAGTCTTCTATTGTGTTAATCATTAAGCATATACATTTTGTTACACTGTCATTTCATTCATTCACCAAATATTTGAGCACCTGTTAATATGCATTTATGTGCTCAGTGTTGGGTATATAGAAGTGAATAAAATATATATGATCCTTACTACATGTAGCTTATTAGAAGCAAATTGTAATTAGAAGCAAATACTCATGTACTTATAATTTTATAAATTTAAATGAAGAAATAAGAGAAGTATAACATGGATACCTTACTGGAGGAGATGGAGAGGTTAGGTCAGATTTTTCTAAGAATGTAACATTTAAGTTAAACCCTAAAGGATGAATAGGGGTTAGCCCAGTGAAAGGGTTGCATTTAAGACTGAGACATTCTAATGTAGAAGCCCTCCTGAGGCATGGTAAGTTAACATATTCATTCAACGAAAATGTATAATAGTAGGGTAACTGAGGATTTTTAAAGCAGAGGAATTGCATAATCTAATGTGTGCTTAAATAAATGGGTTGGAATTTGAGAGACTAGATAGGATTCTACTGTAATAGCCCAAGTGGGAGATAATGGTAACTTGGACTGGAGTGATGGCAGAGAAATAGAAGTAAATAGGGTAGAGATTTATTGTGGAGCTAAATTGGCCAGACTTGGTGTAATGAATTGGATATGGCATAGAGAGAATAAGGTGTCTAGGTTGATTCCCACATTTCTGGTTTGGGCAACTTGCAGCAAGAATGGTTTTCAGGGGAAAGATCGACGTTTTAGTTTGGAACTAGCTGGGTTTGGCAGTTTAATGTATCAGCGTGGCAGTCAGAACATAGATCTTTGATGAATATATAATTTGGATTGTTATTTAAAGTTGTCACCAGTAGTTGAGATCTAGAGAGAGGGTAGAGTGTGAAAAGATGGTGGTAGACTGATGGTGTCCTGAATTAGGCTTGGGGCCTCAGGCATAGAAGTGGATGCATTCTAGAGATGTTTAAGAGATGGGGTCAATAATATAGTTGACCCTTGAACAACACAGGTTGAACTGTGCAGATCCACTTACATGCAGATTTTTTTCTTCAGTAAGTATACTAGAAATTTTTTTGGAGAATTATGACAATTGGAAAAAACTCACAGACGAATCACATAGCCTAGAAATATGAAAAAAATCCCAAAAAGGTATGTCATGCATGCATAAAATATATGTAGATACTAGTCTATTTTATCATTTACTACCATAAAATATGCACAAATCTATTATAAAAAGTTAAAATTTATTAAAACTTATGCACACAAACGCAAGACTGTACATGACACCATTCATAGTCAAGAGAAATGTAAAGAAATAAAAAGATGCAATATTAAATCATAACTACATAAAAGTAGCCACCTCCTGTTGGTATTGCAGTGAGATCAAGTGTTGCACTTTAAATCCTATGTGATGATGATCATCTCCACATGAGCATTGCTCCAATAAATTGCATATCACAGTAAAAAGTGATCTCTTGTGGTTCTAGGGTATTTTTCATCGAGTTTAGTGCAATACCATAAACCTTGAGTAATACCATGAGACCCATGTGAAGTGCCACTAGTGCTGCTTGAAGAGCTCTCAGGAAGCAGAGAAGACTTAGGACATTATAAGGAAAAGCTGAATTGTTTGATAAAGACTATAGATTGATTGAGCTATGCAGCTGTTGTTCACCATTTTAGACAGGTGATTCATCTTATAAACAGACCACATAAACTTAATGGTATCAGTAAATACAGTACGGTACTGTAAATGTATTTTCTCTTCCATATGATTTTCTTAATAACATTTTTTCCTTTATTATAATAGTATATGATAAATGTAACATGCAAAATATGTGTTAATGGACTGTTTATGTTATTGGTTGAGGCTTCCAGTCAACAGTAGGCTATTAATAGTTAAGTTGTGGGGGAATGAAAAGTTATAAGTGGATTTTCCGCTGCACGAGAGTCTTCACCGCTAACCCTTGCATTGTTCAAGAGTTACCTGTACTTGGAGACTGGATTTGGGAGGTGTGTTACGGTTTAGCCAAAGACAAAATGCAGGTTTATTTTTTGGGTAATAGGATAAATGATGTTGCTTTTTGCTGAGATAGGGAAAAAACTGGAGGAGGAGGAGAACATTAATTCTTTTCTTTTTAATTCATACCTTTTTAATTTTTTTTAGTGTATAATTAA